CGCACTTAGGGGTTTGTCTCAACTCCTTATCACAAGGGGGTAACTTTCCGGTCACGTGGTGTTCGCACGCGTTGATCGAGTAGGGCTGACAGCCCTTTTTGCTCTGGTATAGACCACCCGATACTAGACCAGTGTTTTTATAGTACGACCATGCTGACTCAGGGAAACCACCCTCACACCCGTCCCCACACGAGCTGCAACAGGCCAGTAGGTTCTCGGCCGACACCTCCACCTGTTGTTTGCCTTTAGATGCGATACATATGCGGTCAGAGATGGCCTCTACCACAGCAAATGCCCAACAGGAACCTGGTGTTCATGGGAACGGTATGTATTAGTTATAATGTTTGCATAATGTTTATGAACGCAAAACTGTAAATAAAATAATTTTTTATTGTAATTGTGTAATTTATTTTATAGTCATGGTGCATGGCGATTAATTTAGTTTAGAATCATTTTTATTTAAAATTATTATCATTTTAGTATTAAAATGTTTAAAGTATGCATGCTAGACTCAAATTTGAAAAATATTTCCATTCATCAAGATACAATTATAGCAAAATTATAAATTAGCGAGTTTGTTTTAATATCAAAGTAGTATTGTATTAAAAATATTGCCCAAAACTCACCGCACGATCCCTGGTCTCGGATCTCCTTAATGGACAGGCAGTCGGGCCACTGTTGTCGGGCGTCAAACGACTCCGGGATCTCGAGCTCATCGCTCACAGCCGGCTGTTTGGCGTACGGAGTGGAGCGCCGGCGTCCGCCTAACAGTCCCTTCAAGTATCGTTTGGGGTACGAGTCGTCAAAGTTTTTACCTGCCTGTCCATCAGTTGAGTTCACAATTAGTTAGTGTATTATTTAAACAGTAGTCCAATTGGTAGACATACCTTCCATGTGGTGTCCAGACTATTAATGTAGTCAATCAAGGCGTCGGTAGTTTGAGAGCCCATGGGTGTCTGTAGCGACCCGGCTATGCAGGTCGTTAGCAATAGGATCAGTGTCAGTTTACCCATTTTGTGATGATGTGGTTTGTAGTATGATGGGTGAGTTTAGCTGTTTATATACTGTATATTGGGTTTGATATGTAATCGACGTATTGAGTGTTCATAAGAAAATACTTATGTGTTTGCGGGAGGTATTGATATAATGTTTTAATTTGATAATGTTCAGGGTTTATTTTGTATTAAAGTCAGTTCGGTGCAGATTATAATAAAAATATCAGCAGTTCAATTATGATTAGTAACAAAATAGGAGTTTTACATAGTAAAAATGTTAATGTTGCATGCTTCATTGGTAAAGTAAGCAATCTTTAATGAGTACATATGATTATAAATTAAATTGAATAGAAAAAGATAATAAGCAATTCGGTATTGAGTCTAGGTTTGTTTAGTAAAATTATAAACAGAAAATAATTAAAAATAAAATACAATAAATATTTATTAAAACGAATATAAAAACGGTTCAATGAATGTATGAATTAATT